AAAAAAAAAAAAAGAAACCGGACACGGTCCGTAAAGTCACGGTGTCGGTTCTCAGAACAGGCAACCTACGGGCCGGGACCGGGACGAGCTGGGCCGGCCCATGGTCATGCCTAGGCATTAGCCTTCCTGCTTTTCATATATATATATATATATATATAATTACTAGCTAATAGCATTTAATAAAACCTATTTAATTTTACCTATGTGTCAATTTAATCATTTTCCCTCCAAAAACCGTTACTTTTGATGTATTTAATCTTTCATTTAATTATTAAATAATCAACACTAATCAATTCAAAATTACAAAAATCATTTTAAACATTTGATTACTGACAGTTGACCATATAATGTGTTGACCGTATAATCTGATTAGATGTTATTATTGTGGTTACTTTAAATTCCTAGTAAATAATTCCTATTTGAAACAAAAAACATATTTGAAATTCCTAAATAAACAATAAATAATTAAAAAAAAAGATGTAGCAAAATATACATTACATCTAATCAGATAAACGCAATTTTTTTTAAAAAAAATATTTAAACTCATTTAATAGTAAATTTTCCAGCAAAAGGTGAAAGAAAAATAATTAATCATTATATGCATACAAATAACTCACAATACTTTATTTACATCTGTGCAAATGCACAAGATGAATACTAGTGGAGTTTCATTGTTTGATGTATTGCCACTGAATTACTAATCCAAACCACATTAATTTTTGGTTTAGACAATTTTAAATTGTCCTATAAATTTAGGAATTTTGGCGTGAGTGGTGTAAACTGCAAACGGAACTGACTTGAGATCAAGCTTCTAATACTCGAGCTCAAGTTTTTATCAAGTTGAACCGAGTTGAGCCGAGCCAAGCCATTTTTTACTTGTTTATCAATAGTATTGAGTCGGGCTCGAGCCTTAACTAGTCGAGTCGTGGAGAATTTAAAAATAAATCCGTTTTTGAGCTTTAATGAGCTGAGTTTGACTTGTTTATCAATGTTATTGAGTCGAGCTCGAGTCTTAGCCAATATTATAGATTTTTTTTTTTTAAAAAAAAAGAAATCAATTTTTAAGCTTTAATGAGTCGAGCCTAGCTCGACTCATTAGGTAAACAAGCTCGAGCTCGGCTGGTTTCTATTTTATTCTACTGATCTATTTATTACAAGTTAAATGTCTCTTCAATGCTTATGATCTTAATATTCTTATTAGTAATGTATTCCCAAATTGAGAGGTTCATATATTCATGCCTAATATATATAGATGAGAAACAATTGCATGCACGACTACAACACAACCGACTACAAATTTATACGGATACGCAAGAACAGAACAATGACGTGAAAGAAGATGAA